TCTTTGATATGGAGGCCGATAGCTCGTCGGAGGAAATCGGATATTTTTCTTTCCAAATCGCGAAAGAGAGTCTTGTCATCGGTGATTTCCGCTTGTGTAGCAAGCAGTCGGAACTTTCGATACCATAATACAAAGTTACCTTTTTGGGCATTATTAGGCATAACCCAGTGTTCATACTCAGTTCGTGCATGATCGACTTCGGCAGGATTCTTATAAATTGCTGCGAGCTCATCGACCAATTGCAGTCCCGTCAAGAGGGGGACTTGGGTGTACAAAGAGTACAGATGTTGTTGAGCTTCTCCTTCCGTCTGATCTGCTACGTAAGATCGGCGTTGCGATTCCGAGACGAACGATGTCGCATATAGCTCTAATCGTTCTGTAACCAATAGCTGCCATAGACCTGCTTTTGGTTCCACACCATCTTTAAGTTTTGACGAGAGATTGGTGGGTTTCGGAATGTATGGTTTTTCTGTAAGGACAGTATCAGAACGAAAGTGGGGTGTTTGGTGGGGTAGCGAGTCGCGATTGGGTGCGACTGCCGGCGAGTGGGTACTCTTTTCTGAATGAGAGCGAGATCGTCCCGAGGTGCGTCCTCGAGAACGATTTTTCTTCTTTCCAGGCGTAGGAGCATCCTGCTCGACAGATCTCACAGGAACGTCAGGAGTCCGGACTCCGCTCTTCTTGAGAGAAGATGCGTGAGGTTGCTGAGAGATGGTATGAGACGGACTGGCGGTACTTTGAACATCATTAACTTGTGCTTGTAATCTAGCGACTTGCTCCCGTAAGAACTCGAGTGCCTGCGCTTGATCTGCGATCAATTGCATTTGGGCATCGATTTGAGCAGTGTCGTCTCGAGGTTGATGAACAGTTCCCCTTTCCTTGTCCTTTCCCTTCCTACCAAGGTTAACACCAGATCCAAAGACGACGTCGTTATCGCTTGCATAAGTCTGCTCTCGATCGGATTGAGCAGATGGGCCGACTGGGGACCGTTGTACGCCAGACGTTGATGCGAATGGATTGACACCGGGATCGGTAGGTGTAGACATAGTAGTGGTACTTGTAACTCGTGTATTCGTTGGTGAATTATCTTCGTCGAGGATTAGTCGGAATAGATCTTCTTCCTATAAGTGATATCGAATTCGTACGATTCACCCAAGAAGGTGTTAAGTTATAAGGTATTATTTGATCGGCCACCAGATGGCCGTACGGTCGTATAGTGAGTTGTAGATAATGTGACACTTTGCCTTAGAAGAACTGCGAGAGCAGGGTACAATTTATCCTTAGAATCTACAACTACAGAATCGAGAGCAAAGCGCTCATAGAGCGCTCCTATATACTAGCTATGTACACGTGATCGTGCACGTGCGCGTACGCGCACGTGAGCGATCGCATTGCGATTGAGTGCGATCCGTGACAATATCAAACTCTATCTGATCTTATTAATATAAACAAAATCAGTATCAAATCAATAAGGTAGATAAAAAGAAAATAGAATAATAGAATAATAGAATAAATAAGAAGAAAGGGTATTTCTCGATATAAAGTTTAGCACCTTACTAATAAAAGAATAAATTGAACTATAAAAAGAGAGTTTCCAGTATATAAACATTGATTATACAGTAAATAGTTTCAATCTATTAGTTATTGTATTACAAGCCCTAAGTGAAAGCAAAAAAAACTAGCTTTTTTAATAGATTTATATAAGATCTATTATTTTCTATATATAATTAATTCTTTAGATAGAATACAATATAGATATTTAGGATCTACATTCGTAGGTACTATGTCTTCCGTATCCTTCTCAAACCAATAAAAAGGAATTAAAATATTTAAAACTATATATAAAAAAGATAATAATAAATATATCAAAGGATTTTGTAATATAGATTATACAAGAAATAAAAGTTCTACTAAATCCATTAGTAGCTATATATTTATATATACTAATAATCTAATTAACTAAAGAACTAAACTACAATCTGTTGTAATACAAAATATAGTAGAGTCCAAGCTAATTACTATAAATTTAGCTATTAGAGAGACTATATATTTAAGACATATACTACAGAAATTAAATCAATTTAATCAAAATAAATTCCCATTATATACGAATAATACATTGGCAAAAGCTATATCGGATAATCCTATATATTACGATAAAAGCAAGTATATTGATACTAAATATTATTATATAAAAGATCTTATAAATAAAGAATATTTAGACCTAATATGAATTTCTACAGAAAATCAATTAGCTAATGGATTAACTAAGCTATTAGAAAGAATCAAATTATCAAGATTTATTGATATAATTCAAAATTTTAATAATTATTATTATTAAAATAAAAACATATATAAAAAATTAGTACTCTTTTTCCCTTTAAAATAAGAAGGTTTTTAATGAGACTAATATATATATATTTATATATATAAAAAGATGATACATATTAAAGGGGACTATTGTTTTAATTAAAAATAATATAATATATATATCTTTTTAGTAGCATTCAATTCAGTATTAGTATATTATATAATCAGATCACATGATTGTCGCCTATAAGCTTACGAAAGCGACCATTAATCCGAAAACGACCATTAAGCCGAAAACGGCCATAAGTCCGAAAACGGATATAAAAATAAAGAATATGAAAAAGGGCTTTATTTCGAAAGAATGGACGGATTAGGAAGAGATCTACAAGAGATTTATGAAAGCGGAAATACTGAATTAGAAGGAAAAAGCATAAAAAGAGGCTTTTTTCCCTTGAATGTAAAATAAGAGAGATCACTATTCAATACAGATTCTTTAATATCACGTATCACACTGCTTATATAATCCATTTTAGTCGTTAACCAGAGCCAGCTTCCATATTACATATTATTAGCCTATGACCTACGATAAAAACATTTAAAACATTTAAAACAGTTAAAACATTTAAAACATTTAAAACATTTAAAACATTTAGAAGATTTAGAAGATTTAGAAGATTTAGAAGATTTAGATGATTTGGAAAATTTAGATGATTTAAAACATTTAAAACATTTAAAACATTTAAAACATTTAAAACATTTAAAACAGTTAAAACATTTAAAACATTTAAAACATTTAGAAGATTTAGATGATTTAGATGATTTAGAAGATTTAGATGATTTGGAAAATTTAGATGATTTAAAACATTTAAAACATTTAAAGCATTTAAAACATTTAAAACATTTAAAACATTTAAAACAGTTAAAACAGTTAAAACAGTTAAAACATTTAAAACATTTAGAAGATTTAGAAGATTTAGAAGATTTAGAAGATTTAGAAGATTTAGAAGATTTAGAAGATTTAGAAGATTTATGATACGCTAAGACTAGCGCACCTGCATACATAGATATATATATAGCCTCCCGTAGTATAAATGAGAGCTTCGTCCTTCTTTTATACTGGCAGCCAGGATCAGTTTGTTACTATATCGCAGGTTCAACACTGGGAGCACAATCACGGCGAAGATCAGTCATCGGGTTCATCGGATCAGTAGAGCTAAGGGAATGACAGTTAGTAAAGGGTTAGGGGAAAGGTTATGAAGAATAGTGTTTGCTTTAGTTTTACTCTTGTTTTCCTTTCTTTTCTTTTTAGATACTTACAAAGTGTATGAACGTTGATCATATAGTGAATAGCTTCAATCCATTAGCTACTGTATTACAAGTCCTAAGCGAAAGCGAAAGAGACTAGCTCTTTCAGTAGGTCTATATAAGACCTACTACTTCCTGTACATAGCTAGCTCTTTAGACAGAATACAACATAGACATTTAGGACCTACGATTACGTGGGTACTACGTCTTCCGTATCCTTCTCAAACCAATACAAAGGTATTAATACTTTTAAGCTTGTAGTAGAATCTCATTTATGCTTATGCTTAAAATGTAGCTTTGGTTTCATGAATTTTCCTATGAGGATATAGGGAAGGTTTCTTGAGGGGGGCATTTGGTACACTAAGACTAGCGCATCTATATACATAGATACGTATATAGCCTTTTTATAGTATGAATGAGAACTTCGTTCTTCTTTCATACTATTCACATACCAAAAAGCAATCAACTATTTCAGTTATTTAAATAAAATAAAGATCTATATAAAGAAATAGGTTTTATTATAATATAAAGTTTTATACTTAAAAATAATTATTAGTTTTATTATTATAATTAGAAGAATTATAATTAATTATAACCTTATTAAATTTCTATTTGAAATCTAGTTTAAATTATTTTGAAAGATCTCTAGCTATTTCCATATAACCCTAAAGGCAGCTCTTGTAATAGTTAGAGTGAATACAAGGTGACGACTAATATAATAATAATAAAAGTATAAATGAGTTCTAAGACTTTTTATTAATTCCTTTAGAACCTTTTTCCAAAGCTATATATATATAAATTCTTTAGCATTAGAATAATAGTCAGTCTAATACCAATTTTATATTAATGCTCCTAATACTACATAGTACAAGCATAAGCATAGATTCTAAATAATATTAAAAATAACTACGGAGAGTGCTAGTAAGCCTGTTGTTATTTTTAGTTGTAAAGGGCCAAGCAAAAGCTCGTAGATTGTACAACGGTAAATAGAGTATATAAATAGAACGACTGGATTTTCAGATCCATCTTCAAATGAAATATCATTCCCCTCCAATCCTTATATTCGTCGCTACTACTCGTATTATAAGAAATCCTCCACCACTTCATTCTTCTAAACATATCAATCCCTAGCCTGACGAGTGCTGTTCCAACCATAATCCTATTCTATCCCAATTCCCAATTACCCGATCTATATCCCAACGTGGTCATTATTTCGTATCCAATTCGTTAAATGCAAGAAATTCTCTTGAAATCCCATCTCCAATACATTCCTCATAATCCGAAAGTCCATCCATAAAACCAGATCATCCTCCCTTCCCACCGCTACCTTCCCCCTTTCTATTTTCTTCCTTTATCATCACCTCCATCATCACCCAATTGCATTTCTAACTCTCCCCCACAGACTCTTTTCCGTCAATCGCATCCCTCCACCCTCTCCCCCACCTAACAGCCGCCCAAGTCGCCGCACTACTAACCACCAAAAACCCCGCACTAATCGTCGAAAACCAACCTACCCCAATTTTCTCCACTGCCGGCAGCACCGTCGCACTTCCTGTCGCCGCAAACAAATATCTAATCATATAATTTCCTGCAATGACCTCCGCACCATTCCTCTGCATCACATCCAAACAATACGTATTCAGACTTGGGAAACAGAAAAGTTGCGCCACTCCTTGCAAGAACATCATGATAACGGGAAGCGGGATACCGCCAAAATCTTTTTCAACAGACCAGCCGTAGAGAAGCATGCAAGCGGGGATGACAATTCCCATGAAGGGGAGAGCGGAGCGAAGTCGATCTTCTGGGATGCGGGTCCCGCGGATACGGATGTATTTGTTGGTTATGTGATCAGAATAGCGGCCGCCGAAGAATGTTCCGACGATGTATCCCATGCCTGGGGCGAGATAGAAAAGACCAGATTGGATAGGAGTGGTGAGATGGAAGCGGGGATTAAGAACGTAGCGAATCTGTAAAGTTCGAATATTAGTTTTGTTCTTTACTCGGCGTTGCTTACCCAGAAGAGAGGCAAGGTAACATCATATCCTATCATATAAGTATGAGGAATGGGAGAGCTTACAGGAGTCAAAAGCGAATACATATTCCACACCAAACTACTACTCGCCAAGGCCACCATGATCAAATTCGGATACTTATAAAGTTTGATGACTCTCCAAGGATTCAACATTCCCCATAGCACTCCTGCTTTCCTCTTCCAACTCATCCCAACCAATTCATCCTTCTTCATTCGATGAATAGTTTCGGGTAGCAAGAAATAAGCTCCAATCACCGCACATGCAGCCAATGCAGTTTGCAGCCAGAAAATTACACGCCAAGATTGGAATGTGACAATTATACCCCCAATAAAGGGCCCGAGTGCGGGTCCGATAAGTGTGCCAGAAAGAAACCAACCCATTGCAGTTCCACGTTCCGTTGGACGATAGATATCCCCGATACAAGCTGCGCCGATAGTGAGAAACGAGGTTCCTTGAAAGGCCGTCAGGATACGAAAGATAAAAAATGCGGGAAGATTGGGAGCGAGCGCCGTGCCAATTGAGCAGGCTGTGAAGAGGAAGGATGTTATGAGGGAAATCTAAGATTTTTTAGTATTCTCAACCACATATCAAATTAAATGAACTGGAAGCGTACCCATCTCCTCCCATAAACTTGACTCAATGGGCCCCACACCAATGGACTCAATCCCATAAACAACATATACAACGCATTACTCAAATTGATAATGGTACCGGTACTATGATACGTATTCGCCACCTCTGGCACCGCTGCCAATACCGTGGTACTGCTAATCGGAGCCAAGAAACTGCAAAAGGAGAGCAGAGCAACGATAACGAGTTTGCGATTGGGCGGAATGCGGTCGTAGATGGCATCGGGGATGGAGATATTAGAATATGTTTGTTGAATTGGCGCATCTTGAGTATTGGAGATGTGCGAGGCGATTGGGGCTAGATTCGAGGGTGGTTGTTGAGAGGGAATGGAGCTACTTGTACTGTGAATAGAATAAGTATCGGATGCTTCATGTGAAATGGTCGATTCGTCTTTTTGGTGAGGAGATAGTTGTCCATGGCTCGTTGATAGATCATGGTGGTTCAGACTTGAAGCCATGATTCGAATTGAATATTAAAGAGAGATGTATATGTAAAATTTTGAAATATACGTCATCCGTCAAAAAGCAAGCGAAGGATATATTAAAAGAGGCCCTGCGGATCATAAAAGGCAATCGAATGATTGAAGCAAAGAACTAACAATTGATCCAATTAATCCAGGTGATCCCACGAATGATGATTGATCCGATTGAACTGAAAGACCTCCGATTCTCAATGAATCCAAAAGGAACGAAAGACTCGGGTTACATGTATATATAGAGAGAGAGAGAGAGACAGAGAGGGAAAAAAGATGGAGAAACAGAAACAGAAACAGAAACAGGAAAGAGAAAAGATTTCAATCCCCTCCCCATGAGCATGAGTCAAAGACCGGTAAGCAACCGTACATACTCGAGTGCCACACCTACTTTTCCCCTTTGCCCTTCACTTTCCCATTCCCCTCATCCCACGAGTGACTGATAAGCAATTGCTATCGCACCATAGCAGAGGTAACATATCCTATCCTATCCTATCCCATCCATCCCAATCCATCCCAATCCAGCCCAACCTATTCCCCTTCCTATCTAAGACCATGCTCTCTGGCCGATAATCGGCTTCCCTAGACTTCATTTCCAAACATTTCCCACCTACCGCTCCACCTACCGCTCCACCTCCCCAGTAAACTTTCCAACCTTATCGACGTTCCAATATTCTGCGTGCACACTTCTGCAAAAACAGTTTAGCTTTCCACACCACGTGACTCAAAAAGCTTAACCTGCATATTCAAGAGGGGGAAGAGTGTTGTGATTGGTGTAATTGATTCAATTGATTTTTTTCCTGCCTTTTAACTCGAGCATTCTACCCACTAAATAAGCCTAGTATTGCAGAAAGTGGGTACGCCGTTTTTCCGAATCGACTTTTCCGTGTTATTGCCGGAACCATTATTCTCGTTGCACTTTCCATCTTAGGACAATGAGTACCTCTGTAGAGATCTAGCCCTACAAGAAGTATTTCTGGTCCACGAAAGTGACATTCCAATGCATATGCGATACAGAGAAGAGAGTCACATAGATTCATCGTTGTTGAGGTAATTGATATTGAGTATTATATCATTGGTCTTCTTGTATGCATGTCCAACTATTTGTGGGTGGTGAAAATATACATACATATGCATACCTACACACACACATATACAGGTACATATCCGAGGAAAGTCCATGAACTATAAATGATGAATGTCGGCGTTTTATCTACATGTACAATACACAATTGATCGGCATTCATACCACCTATCTATCTACCGTCCATACACGTTACAACTTCCATCCAGAATACTTACCTGGTACCCACCGACCTACCTCCCGTCAACTCTCATACAGTATATATCGCCTACCCTCAACACCCTACAAGTACTCATACATACAACATAACAGGAATGAACCACGCCACAACTTAATCAAAGCTCTAAATAGGTAGATGATACAGCAAATTACTCTCATGTCCCTCAAAAGCTATTTGAATACTCTTACTGAGATCCTACAATAAAATCTATAATAGGAGGCTAGAATCTAGCCATCTCAGACTAGATTTTATACTTTTGATCTAGAATTAATATATTATAGAATCTATTCTATCATAGAATATCTCGTAAAATAAAAGAACCACAAAAGTAAAACAAGTATAACATTAACGGCGTGAGAGTAATTTGCCCTGGATAATAATAAAATACTATCACATGACAACCAAAACAACATCAAAAGTATAATAATGCTACTTGCTCGCTTGCATTTGCTAGCTCGCTTCTACCAAGATGATATTGATGATGATAACAAACAATAACACAAAACGTCCAATCAATACAAAGTACAAAGCACAAAGCACAAACCCTACGCTCTCACAAAACAAAAACAATGCCTTTTTAAACCCAAATATCGCCTCCGCCTATTTCAAAATGCATGCAGGTATGTATATATGTAAAAGTATATATGTATGTAAATATGTACGATACTCACTAGCTAGTTGCTAATGGTATATAACTTATCCTACGGTATCCATTCACACACAAAATGTTAACGCAAACGACCTTTCCTTCCCAGTCTCCAGACATTCAAGATCCGCTTGAGCCGCCATGATAAGATAGACAAAGATGGATATCAACATGAGATGCGATCAAGACGCTTGCCCATCGCACCAATCGCAACGCAACCATATATTTGTAAATGCAACGACATGATTTAACCGCCCATAAACAGCCAAAGTCAAAGTCAATGCCATTCCAATATGACTTGACCGACTTCCCAAACCAAACAATGAATAAAAATGATTCCGACGATGATAGACATAATATATCGGATGTGGCAGGTGTATTAGAGAGGTAAGTAATAGAGGTAGATGTATATGACGTATATAAATTGCGAGTATGCGAGTATATGGTTCTCTTCTCGAAAAAGAACAAAATTGTATACGCATTTCCCCTTCCAGGTTCTTCAGATTTGATATTACAAATATCAAGCCGAAGCATCCGAGAAGTTCGACTTCTCCTGCTTCAACTTTAACGGTTTCTTACGCAAACTCTTCGGAAGCTATACCATGAGAGAAAAATTATTAGCTACACTCCACGAGGTAGAAAATTATCAATGATGTCAACGCAAAGACAATTCCACTCTCAGTAGTAGATTTACCACCTGATTCTAATAGGTGTGTAAAGTTAATACAAGAAGGGATTAGAAAAACTAGTAAAACCTGCTGCGAAAGTGGTAACTTGACGTGCCTGATAGTCTTTCTCAAGTAGACCAGTGTATTTTCCTGCATTGACCAGGATTTTCATATCGGTATAGAGAGCCGATGATCGTGTTGCTACGATCCCCAGGAAACTAAGAGTTCTCTTGAGAAGGTCACTGAGCCCTTGCTTATCAAGAATCCCGTCGAATAATGGTCGGAGAATATTATCGTTCCATGCTGCTTGGAGAGTAAGCACATTGCCCCATTGCCTAATTTGCTGTGTTAGTAGATAGCTCATCCAATACAAGTGCATGTACACTTACGCATGTGCAGTCCCCCATGGATTCGTGACGAAAAGTCTACCCTCGCCTAGACCATGAAAAGCTCTGGTGCTATTAACAAGTGCTTGGATACCATTTTTTGCATAAGCCAATGCTTTCTCGTCAATTTCCTCTGCTGATGTCGCGTATTTATTGATGCTCGGCACCTCAATACCATTTCGGAAGTCGTCTGAGGCGCGTTCGACCGAGTTTGAGGTTGAAACCGCATGTGAATGTTCTAGGATCTTCAAAACGAAATTCCTGTAAGTGATGACTTGAGCGCCGTAGTACTTTGCTCTCATTCGCGCTGTGAGAATGTCACTCGCAGGAGGGTCATTCTCTTGCCAAGTACTTGTTCCTCCAGCTTCTTTCCATCGATAAAGAAATTCTTCTGCGGTGGCTATTGACTCGAAATGGTTGGGATCATGGCGAGTATATACAGAAGGAAATTGAGAGTCTTCCGGAAAAGGTTAGTAGTTTTCAACTAATCTAAGAAATACTAAACATACCATTATCGGGTTTGTAGAACATGTTGTGCAATTGATTGAGGTGCTTGCGTAGGTAAAGTTGGCCCTGATAACTCAACAGAACCATCTGATCGAAACCTTCTTTCACGGCCTCAACGATGTTTGGACTTGGCATATTCTCTTCGAATGTAAGAATTCCGGAATGCGGGCAGGGTAACTCTGCTACGATATCGCTATCATGTGATGTCAGAATTCCGATTCACCAATTGGGCGAGATAGACAAACCTTTCAAGTTGTAAGCACGTCCAAAATGCGAAAATCAGCGGATTGTCCTTTGCCAGAACGGGGAGCCCATCTTGCTTTAACTTTTTGAAGCGATCCAGTTTCCTAATGTCTATGTTAGTCGCATTTCGTTCAGAACCTGGCGAAGACTTACGGTCTCAAAATAACCTGTAGAGCTCTACAAGCCTGATGAATGTACGAATGACTTTCTAAAACCCTTGCAAGTTGTCCGTGATAAAGACCAGCTAAAATGTTCACATGGACATGCTGTAGACTGTTTCCTCCAAGTTGATTTCCAATAATATCTGTAGCCAGTGCGAAGTATGCCAAACCGGGAATAACATCCACATTCCTAGGTCTGAAGCCACTTCTCGCCAGATATGAATCACCTTCTATTGAAGTTCTCCGGCTGCGGGGATAGAATCGATCAACGTTATCCTGAGGTGATGGCAATTCTGAAGATTGGGTTGGAGAGCTTTGAATAGGCGATGGATGGCCATTTCGGACAACTGGAGAATTAATGTGACCCCAAGGATTTTCAATGTCTTTGTCGGAAGGAAGCTCGGGAATCTTCTGTCTTTCTTGACAAATCTTGCCGAGTGCCAATACCACCAGCACTAAAGCTGTACTGATTGAGCGACTTGGATGGCCTGGCTTGACGAATGTCCCGTAACCGCCGGCAACTGAGATTTCTGGAGGTTCTCCAACTCCCGGTGATCTTTTTCGCTTGCTTCCTGGACTCTCGGGCGGCTTCATACTCACGAAACCAGCATGACTGGTATGCTGTGAAGCCAAGTTCTGAACTTGCTTTGGTTTCGCGGAATCTGATGGAATAGATTTGAGAAATGACTCGACCAGAGCATCCAGCCGCCTCGGTATCAAAATTGGATGCATAATATTCATGTGCTCCTTGTAACTCTTGACCAAGTCCAAAACTACACTTTTTCGGAAATCAGGCATCCCATCCGACATAATACTGCCTATAACTGGTGGAGGATAATCTGGCGCACTAGATGGTGGCGTCATACCACCCAATTGACCCCATTCTTCACCAGCTGGAGAAGAGACGTCGGAACTTGTATCGACTGTAGAATCGGCATGATCCGTCATAGGATCTCGGTCATAGCCTTGAGCTAAATCAATTCCTTCTCCCCTTCCGAATAATCTTAGGAGTCCACGTCGTTCTTCTTGCAGCATTGGATATTTTTCGTCCTTCACATTCTTGGGTAAGC